CTTTTAATTTGTACAAAGTAGTTTCCAAAAGATGATGATACCATAAATGGAAATAAAATATACAGAAAAGTTTTTTTTTTGCACATATTTTTCATCTACCACGCAGCATCATTTTTTAATAATATCGTATGGAAAAATGATGTTCGTGGTACCGAAGAATATTATCCTGTTGTAATACTACAGATTTGCCTATTTATAAATCAAAAAAAAAAATCTTTGTTTATTTTGATTTTATAATGACAAAGATTTCATTTATTTTTATCCTTTATTATAAATAAAAATGAAGATAAAGTAACACTGGTATTAACTACTGATCAATATCTGATACCAACAGTACACGTCAATCAGAGTCTTGCCATGGGTTTCGTCATTTTTTAACACTGACAATTCGAATATTCTTCCGGGACCGGAATCCTAGCTGGATTTTATCAGCTCTGTAGCAATTCACATCAAATCCGATTGGTACAAATGTTCTCCTGAGTTACTGGCTTCATTTGAGCTCATCGTTTTTAAATTCAAGGTCTCTTTATACAAAGATCAGCTAAAAACAGATAAATGGAGTCAGCAATGATCTAACATAGATGGGTTCTAGAGAGATCGCTATTTATAGGAACTTCAAACAACCAGAATCGGAAATCTTTGCATGTCTTCCGACGGTTTCTATCATCAAGAGTGTTCCACTTCATATTACAAAGTTATAGACATGTAATTTTTTTTTAACAATCATGAAGACATGCATTCGGGTTAGAGACATATTAAGTTTCTGTGAATACGATCTTTCATAAAATAATAGCATTTGTTTTAATCTCAAGAATTTCATGATCTCTTCAACATGAATCCTTACCAAATTTGAACTGATGGGTCGCTAGAAAGAAACAATGATCATCGTGACAGAATTTATCTACGATGAAATACTGCAACAAAAGAAAAGAAAAATTTTAGTTCAATTCAAACTTCATACGAAAGTTTTCATGAACAATTAATACTTTTTCATAGATCATTGTCAATATACAAAGGTTTCAGATACTCTTCCAGTGACCAATAAAGCGTATAAAGTTGATTATTTAAAATTAGAATAATTATTGTGATTGTCAATCATCAGCCTTTTGAGGTTGGACTCTTAACTTATGATGTTTTTATTTTTCAGCTGTGCCTGTCAGTGGCATCCGAAGTTACCATTACGCAAAAAACATTGTTGCGTCAATCAAAACATTTAAGCGTTCTGAATTCACATTGGCGGATGGCATTAGTATTCGTCAGCAACAGTTGTACACTCGTGTTTATCTCTTTCTTCTTATCGGTTCTATCAGTATCATCATATTTTACTCGTCAATCATCGACCGTGTCATTAAAAAAACACATTCAAACCCATCGATTGAAGATTATGGGCATTTACTAAAAACCTATTCAAATAATTTGGATTGTCCATGTACAAAAGATCAATTCCTTGTGGCGACTTTGTCCATCAACTAGAAGTCAATTCCTTTCATCAAGTTTGTACTACGCAGATAATGCATATCAGCTTGTTAATACCTGAAGATACTCTATCAGGAATTACTTTTACGAATGGCAGAGATTTTCTGTCATGGAAGGACATGTTTCTTGACGGTCTCAACCAACTATGTCAAATTGCAAGACAGAGTGTAGCTAATAGTATTCAAGCATTTATTGTCTCGAATATGCTCGCATATCAAGTGATAACTCGAACACAATTCAATAATGAAATTAATTGGACTCTCGATCAGCTGAAAATATCGATTCCGATCACTTTTGCTCGAACATTAGATTTGATTCGTACAACAATACAAGGAAATGCATTAATGGACACATTTTCCTCTAATTGGAAATTGATCATAACTGATAGCAACAGTGGCAAAAATGCTTCATTTTTAAGCGTACCTGTCAAGTATGATGTTGATGGTCAAAATACAACTTGTTCTTGCTCTACAAGACGATCTTGCTCAAAGCCAGCACAACTCTTTCAGGATTTCACAGCTTATTATACATTTAAAGCCTTGGTTCGAAGTTGTTTTTTGCTTGAAACAATTTTACGCTCTTCACTATCTTGTTTCTACTCTTTAACATGTATTAATAAATTTCGGAACGCAATGGGTCTTGATATTTTTTATACCATGGAACAATGGGCAAATGAGAATGGTCAACCTGCAATGTTCGATGCTGTATCTACACGTTTTTCTGTTAATGATACTATAGAAACATTGGTTTACAATATGTTTATTGAAACATGGATCAGTAATGCGTCATACGAGATGTTCTTCAATGCTTGTGAACCGAAACAGTGTACTTATACATATCATTATCGATTTGATGCTCAAGAAGTCTTAACAACATTTCTAAGCATATTTGGTGGTCTATCTGTTGGATTGCGCTTTATCGTACCTTATTTATGTCAAGTTATTCAAAAAATAGTCAATCGATTTCATATCAGGCCGGTAAAATGATCCTTTTCTTCAACTGACTTTAAAACAGTGTTACCAAAAAAACATTCGAAATATATATTTTTATGTTGTAATTTTTCATATTGTTATTCATATTTATTTTATCATTAGGGTAAAATGATAGTTGAGCATTTAACATTCGAAGTGAAACACAATGATCTCTTGAAATTTAACTAAGGGGAAAAAACCAAACTTTTACACTTCAGAAGTACAAAGAACTACTAGAAGTGCGCTTGTTTCTCTTGCAAACTAAGGCAAATGTACAATGATCGTAAAGTTCTGTGTTTTCTTAGCACTGATATTAAATTTTAGAATTCCTATATAGAAGAGAGACTTGTATTCACTGACATTTTTATTTGGAGGACAAAACAAACTTGGAAATGATCCATGGTTTTATGAAAGCATTTGTGCTTTTTTTTTATAAACTATCATCACAACACTCAATGGTTCTGACTGAATCAGCATTAATATTCCAAAAAAAATGATCAAGAATGAATAAACTGCATTTGTTTCTCTTTCTTACTAATAAGTTGCTGCTGTCTTTCTTTTGTGGTGGCTGATTCTGTGGCAAGATTATTCTCAGTATGAGACATCAGAAAAGGGTGTGAGTGTGGGGTGCGCGTTTGGGGTATGGGAGTGGAAGTGGATCCCATACCCACACCCACACCCGTCCATACCAACACCCACACACCCATACCCGTTTTATAGTTGTCATGATTAAAATCGGTTAAAAAAACAAATAGTCGATTAAAATGATTAAAAATTAAGAAATTGATTAAAATCGCGCCATTTTAATTGATTTTTAATCAGAAAATAATCGATAAAAATCTGATTTTTTTTGCCGGTTTTTAGTTGGGTTACCAGCATGTGTTTCGTTAACGTGAGAGAGCTACTGAATATTACTTCTTTTTTTCTATTCATATATTAATTACAGGCAATCTTTGTGACGAGCATGACGAGAAAAAAATCGTTCGGCGGCCTATCTGCTTGCTTTTTTTTTAATAAGGTGAAAGAAAGTAGCTCTATGCATCAGTAATCACAGCAATAAAGAAGAAATAAAAAACGTGCGCTCGTCACAATTCACATCAGTTATCGTGCGTTTGCTTATATTCACAACCAGTATATTTGCCGTTTTTTTCTCGACTACGACAGTGCTTGGATATTCTTTAGAGGTAAATACCACTACAGTAATTGTGTTCAGTCTGCACTAATAAAATAATTTCTCATACGAGAGTTTGATGTCTGATAGAAAAATAAAATTCTAATGAGGAAAGGTTCCCAAGTGTGGAATACTTGCCTAATTCGAC